TGGCACCCTTTCTGAAGCAGCAGCGGTGGTGCCAAATGGCACTTGCATTTCCAGGAAAGCAGCCAAACTCATTAAGTTAATAAAGGAGTTTAGCTGTTCGGAGATGCCCCCTCACATGCATCCTGCAAAACTCGAGCTCTTGCTGCTCTTCGGACCATTAGACCTCTGTCTGCACCTGCAAAGCACTCCTCCAGCTGAGTCACAGGGAGTCACAGCGGTGTACCCACCAGGCTGGGGAGTGCTGAGCGCTTCCTGTGCAAGCTGGCCAGGCACACCTCAGAGCGTGCCACCCCCTCTCTCCATGCCAGAGGGAGCCCAGTGGAGCCCCCTTGTTCCTGGCCAGTGATGGGACAGGCCCGTTGTTCCCCTTGGTTGTGACAGCAGGATTGTCCACGTTCACAGCACAGCCCGGGTGGCAGGAAGCAACGTCAGATCCACCAGTACAACAGCTGCCTGCAGAGTCGCCGGCCTCAGTCCTACTCCTCTGCCCTCAAGCTTCCCCTTTGCAGTCAGGTGATGATCTCCCTCAACCACAATCTGTTCCATCACCCTCCCACTCCCCAAGCTCACAGAACCCCAAATCCTCCAGCAGCATCAGGCCTTGCAGGGCACCCTCCACCACCACTCACCTCTCCAGTCTCCCCATCACCACCCACCCACCCTCTACCTCACACTCCACCCACCCCACACTCCAGCTCCCAACACACGTCCTGCTCCCTCCTCACCTCGGGCCTTTGAGCACCATTCTCACAACCCTTCCTCTCCTTCCCCTCCCCCCACACCACTGCCTCCTCTTTTCCTGGGTAACTGCAACAGATTCTTTGAGACCTCACCCCAAAGTCCCTGCCTCCTAGAAGCCTCCCCTGGCTCCCAAGTTGGCCTGGGTAGGTGCTTCTTCTTCGAGCTTCCACAGCAACGGGCGTGCCCCTGTGTGAGAACACTTACCACACAAAATCATGAACATCTGCTTTATTGTCTGTCTCCACACCAGAGCGTGAGTGCCCATCATTCCCTTCCCAGGAGCTGTGCCTTTTTCACCTCTGTGTTCCCACTTACCTGGCACCTGGAGGCACAAAGTCAAGGAAGACACTCCCGCCAGGTAGCATGGTCATCAGCGCCCTGCGTGTTGAGTTTCTGTCTTTCTTATCTCCTGGGGACCTTTGAGAAACGCCCTTCTCTTCTGGTGCCAAGGTCTCTTTCCCGCGCTCCCTCTTAGTGCTTTCTTTCCTGCTCTCTCCTTGCTCAGTGAGACTCATCCTGACAATAAAACTGAAGCTTTAAATGTGTTCGTTTCTCCGCTCCAGGGGAAGCATCCTTCCAGTGGCCACTCCACCTCCTCTCCAGCCCCACTCCCCGATCTCAATCCCCACACCTTGACCTCCTCCAGAGGTAGGAAAGAGTCTCTTCACCTCCTGCCTTTCTGCAAAGGAGCATGGACCACCCCTGAGGCCAGCCCTGGTCCACCCAGCCCTGGTCCTGGCTCCCGACAGGTACCCGAAGGTGCATGATCCCTGCTCCAGCCACATGACAGGCTCACTCCCCTTAATGATCCTACGCAGAGCACTTGTGGAGTTCTGTCAGCCTCTCAGGAAGGGTTTTATATTTCCTATTGGCACCAGCTCTTGGCATAATGAATTCCTGAAGTTCACTTCCCTCTGAGTGTGTTTCAAACATCCTTCTTCCAAGTGTCAAGGCACAGGAGGAAAGGAGCATCCTGGAAATAGTGGCTATGCAGGGGTGTGGTCTTGCACCACCGCCCTTACCTCCTTCTGCCAGGTTCCAAGAGCCTCCTTCATGAGAACCACAGGGCACGTGATGATGGTTTAGTCAAGGACCCAGATCTCCAAAATCACCCAAAGGGAATCATAGGCATATGCTACATAAGGCATATTTATGTCATCGTAAGACAGGTGATGGCTGGCTCTTATAAGGGCCAGTAATGGCTGCCTTGCAGAAATACTGTGGTCAAGGCAAGGGACCCTGGTAAGTAGAAGCAAGGACAGAGATTGAGCCAGGACCCCAGGTCTGAACCCTCAGCTGGTCTAAGCAAGAAGATTGGAATGGCCAGGGTCCAGTCGGGAAGCTGAAACCACTCTGGTATGTCACATACAGAAGATGGGCCACAGTGGGTTGAAAAGGCTAAATAAGAATCCAAACAAAGATGGTGAAACAACACAACAATGAGCAACAGCAGGATGCCGGCATCCCCCCAGGCCTGTGGGACACGGGGGGCGGGGGGGGGGGGGGGGGGGGGGGGGGGGGGGGATGATGTTATCCCACACCCAGAAGCCAGGGCCCTCCACCTGAACTAGGATCAGAGCAGAGGCTGTCTGGCAGGAGGTGAGACCATGGAAGAGGGACATCCATGAGGAATCAGGAACAGTCAGGCAGATGGAGCCAGGGCCAGGAAATGCCCTCCTGCCCAGAGCAGAGAGAGAAGCACAAGTGCCCTGACTTCTCCCTTCCTCCCCAGCTCTAAGCTCCTGCCAAACCTAGACAGAAGCCATTGGCAAGGGCCTGGGAAACAGCCTGCAAGAGAAAGGCAGGGATGGATCTGAAAGCAAAAGACAATGGCAGTCCAGGGACCAAGGAACAGACACACCCCAGTAGTTTGTGTGCCCCCTCTGTTTTCCTTAGGGTTCCATAGCTTTCCTTCGTGTCCTTTCTCAGCTTTTGTCCTTCTAGACTCAAGAGTGTGTCGCCACAGGGAAGTCTCTGTGTCCATCCTTTGGGCTTTATATATTGTACATTTTTCAAATTCTTATTACACAGCAAATACATGTCGAGCCACCTGCTGGGTGGTGGAAGGAAGAGAATATGAAAATAAATAAAAACAATTGTTTTTTTAATAGAATTTCAAGTTGATTTTGAGAAAGAGAGAGAGAAACATCGATGTGAGAGCCAAGCATCGATCAGCTGCCCCTGCACTCCCAACCAACTGAGCCACACCAGCCAGGGCAAGGTACAATCCTTGTTGTCAAGGAGATTGTGGTCTGAGGCACAGGAGAGAGAGATAGGCACACAGTTCTCTGTAACAATAATTAAATGATTTCTGTGAGGCCAAGGAAGGAACTGTGCTTGGGGAAATGGGAAAGGGCTTCCAGCAAGAGGTGACATCTGAACTTAGATGAGACAGAGTTCACTAAGTAGGAAAAAGGCATCCCAGAGGGAGCGAACAGGCTCACCCCAGAAACTAAGTGGGTAACAGGATATGGTGGCTCCTGGGCACTGAGAAGACACAGCGGGGATGGGGAGCACCTGGGGAGGGCGTATAAATAAGGCCTGAAATGTGACTTAGGTCAGAGGACTTTGCATGCACACCACAGTGGGGAGTACTGGGAGAGGTTTACCCAGGGGCGAGGCATGAGTAGGTTTGTGTGCTGGAAAGATCTCTCTAGCTGCCTACTTGGAGGATGGGTTGGAAGCGGTAAGATCAGAGGCAAGTAGAAGAGTTTAAGAGGTGATCATCACAGTCATCCAGAGAAGAAACAATGAGGCGCAGAGGGGATGGAGAGAAGGAGCAGACTCTAGAAATGAAGACGGCTCACCGGACAGATTAGTGTGCGGGATCATGGAGAGACAGGGCGCTGGGCACAGGGTCTTTCACGTGGCTTCTGCAGGCTCTGCATATTTCCAAGGTGGTGAGGAGCCCAAAGCAGAGCCCAGAGACCTGGGGGTTGTGGCCTCGATTTGTACAAAGAGAAGGAAGCTTTTCTTTCATGCTCAATGCTCTGCCTGGTGGTACCTGGCCTTGGGGATCCTTTCTGCTGCTGGTGCAACGTGGGCACTGACATCAGGGCTCCGGGTGTCATACCAGAGCTTGCAAGGTTTGAGTCATTTTCCCCAAGTCACTCCCCATACCCACCTCCCGGTTCATTTATTTTGGTGGCTCTGAAATTGCATCTCTTCACCCACTGGTTTCTGAGCGGGACAGCAGAACACTAATTTCCTCAAAGGCTGTTTGCCAACCTAAAGTCTCTGGTCTTGGGTTCGACCTTTCGTTCCTGAGTCTAACCTTCTCGCTCCCTGTCTTAATCCTGTATTAGATGAGGGTCTGAGAGATCGTGGAGCAATGTAGAAGAATGAAGACTGGTGTCTTTTGTCAATACAGATGTGAGTGAACAAATGCAAGTAAGAAATCAATGAACATAGCATCCTTCCTCTCCTACTCTTCAGAGAGTGCTGATGGAGCCAGGCCCAGGGCCGAGCTTAGAACCTGGTCTGCATTTTCCAGGGCCTCTGAACAGTCCTGCACAGCTAGACATTGTTCATCTTTTACTGAGCAGTTACTTTATGCCTGGAATTGTGCAGGACACTGTGAGTCAGCGATGGAGGACAAAACACACACCCTGCCTCATGAATTCATTTCTGTTGAACTATCACCACCTGGTGGCATACACTGAATTTTGTCAAGAAAAGAAAGCCTTGAGTACTGGAGCTAATGATCAGTTGGCATGGGAATGGTAGCTTTCTCAGGAGGCTTAGCAAGGCTGTCACAAGGGGCCTTATTAATTCTCCATGCTTAAGCCCAGATGGCTGAGGATTTGGCATATTCTGAAAGGCTATTAGAGGGGAATTCCATGCTTACCTCCATGTTTAACTCATTTTTGAAATTAGTCCTTCTCACTGGGCAAAAGTCCTACCCCAGAGCTAATCCCAGTTCCTCCTGCTACAGCTAAAGTCCTTTTGCTTTGATTGACATCAATGGGGCTTGTCACATACACTCAGAGGTCATCCTCTGACCTCTGTATTTTCCAGCTCAAAGCCTCCAGGGGGAAGGAGTGGGTGACAGTCCACTTAATGCAATGGACACAGGCCTCCCCCGTGGTGAGGGCCAGCACAAGCTCAAGGTGCACCTCTGTCCTGCATCCCAGCTGCCTTTTAACAGTAGCCTTGGAAGTGATAAGGGATAAGTTTCTTGGAGGTGGATATAGTCACCGGTCACCCTGAGAGCTCACCTGTCAGCACACTCACAGGTGAAGGGGGCGTGGGGAGAGGACATGGGCTGTAAGTCTCCCAGATCTGGTCTCATCTGCAAGCTGGAGACCATGAGCCCCATCTTAGAAAAGGGTTGGGAAGATGCAGTGAGCCAGCTCCACAAAGTGCCTGGTGAGAAGCAGATCCCACCAGGACCTGCTATCATCTGCCCCTCCCCCCACTCCCAGACCTGTCATGAGAAACCTCAATGCAATTGTTTTATGTACTCACAGCCCATCTGGTTCTGAAAGGACTCAGTATACAAATTAACATACATAAAAAGTAAAATAAAAGTTGTATTAAGTTGCTACACATATCAAGCAAAGTTAAAACACAATTACGGAGGCATAAGATGAAACCAAAAGTTAAGATGACACATGAAGCATGTGCTTTAACATGGCATTTCGTACCAAGCTTTGAGAGGGGTCAAACACTGGACTTAAAAGCCTCGTAGAGGACAAACCGAAGAGGCACAGTGGCCAGCTGCTTGATAAAGTGCTTGAAAGAGAAAAATAAGTCAGTTCTCAAAAAGAGCTAATTTCTGAGCCAAATTTGTTAAAAGTTTGTTCCCTTCAATCCAGAAATTGCTTTTCTGGGAATCGAACCCTTACAGGTACTCATACGTATGCACAAAGACATACATGGAATTTTTAAACCTAATAATTTGATTTAAACAAAAAAGGGAAACTCATTTTAAAAGTTACATGTAATTAGATGGTGTATTACATTAATGATATATTTTCTGATTTTGATTATGGTTATGTAAGAAAATGTTGATACTTGCCAAAGTCCTTCCAGGTCAAAGGTCCTGACATCTACAACTTAATCTCAAATCATCAGCAAAAAAATAAAATAGTAGTAAGTATACAGAGAGAGTTAGAAAGTCAGTATGTCATAATGTTAATAATTAGAGGATCTAGGTAATGGCTAAGTGGGAGTTCACTATTCTACTCTTGCAATTTTTCTGTAAGTTTGAAATGTTTTCAAAGTAAAATGAGTTTCTAAAAGTCATGCATGATTTCTTCCTTCTAGGGTGGAGACTTCGTGTGTCTTGCTTGGGTTCTAGGAAGAGACCCTCATTGGTGGGTCCTCTTACCCATGTAAGACAGGCACCAATCATTATGCTTGATTGAGACTTAAGTGCAGGTAAGAGGGCCAACTGGGAACACGTGACTGGGTGCGTTCTGTTTAAATGATGTAAATCCGGTGTGGCCTTTGGAAGAACTACACCTGCAGGTTAGGTTAGAGAAGTGAGTTGGGTGTTTGTCCTTAATCTGCCTTGTGACCACTTTGCACCTGTATTGTTGGTTCTTGTAAGATGGCAATGTGGGTGTGTGTATTCCTGTCAACGTTGCCAGGAGAGTAAAAGCAAACCGTGCTAAAGGAAGACCCCAAGTCCTGATATTTTCTTCAGACTGGACAAGAGATTAGAAAGAGGATGAGAAGGCACGGGGGAAGGGAGAAATGGATGGACTAGATTGTATATTAAACAAAAAATTTCAGTTTTTGGTGTTCGGTGCACAATTTACCTAAGCCTGAAATACACATATGTTGGGGAAATTAATTGTCAAACAGCTGGGATTGCCTTGCTGGGCTCATAGGAACAACCACCGCTTTTGTTTCCTCTCCAGAAACTTTTATTGGTATGAACAGTTCCTAGCTCTTGACTGGACTTAGAACTTTTAAAAGAGTAGAAACCTTATCTATTTGGGTTTGAAAAATGTTCCTGCTATTAATCAGAAATAATCCTTTCTACGTTTTTCTGGCTTATCCTTTGCAGTGGTTCTCAACCTTTCTAATGCCGCGACCCTTTAATACAGTTCCTCATGTTGTGGTGACCCCCAATTTCATTGTTACAAATTGAACATAATTAAAGCATAGTGATTAATCACAAAAACAATATGTAATTATATATGTGTTTTCCAATGGTCTTAGGCGACCCCTGTGAAAGGGTCGTTCGACCCCCAAAGGGGTCACGACCCACAGGTTGAGAACCGCTGCCTCAAAGGGTCCTCCACCAAATGTAGGAGGCTGTTTCAAGGCACAGGAAGTACTTGACTGCCATCTGATGGCCAAAGTGAGTAGCTGTTTAGAAAGATAAAGGAAATAGTTCCAAAGGCATTCAATATATGCAGTTTTTACTGCTCTGATACTGTGGGCCAGGCACTGTGTTAGGCACAGGAAGTGCAGTGGTAAACAAAGTAAGAAGCCTGTCTTCAAGGAGCTAGCATACCATTCTAATGGCAGCTGAGAGTGACAGAAAGTAAACAAGTAAATCAGTAACGTCAAGGTGAGAAAAGGGCTGGCAGATAAATAAAGCAAGGTAAGGGGTCTAGTAGGAGCTGGGGAAAGGAGGTTGCTGCTTTTTAGGAGGTGAGGTGATAAGCCTTCTGTCTGGGGAAAATCATCTGAAGATGCAACTGGGGCCAAAGCCCTGAGGTAGGAGATTTTGTTCCAGGGACAAAAGGAGTCCTGAGGGGCTAGAGCAGAGGGAGGAAGCGAGGCAGAGAAAGGTCGAGGCCAGATCACATGTGGCTCCGTGCACCATTGACAGGAGTTTGGCTTTTCCTCTGATTGAAACAGAGAGTATTGGAAGGCTTTGAGCAGAGAATTGTCGGGATCTGACTTGTTTTAAAGGGTAATTCTGGCCGTTGGTCCGAGAATAGACACTAGAGGGCAACCTCAGAGCCAGGGGAAGAGTCAGGGGGCCAGAGCAGTGATCTGGGATTAGACTATGGCTGGTGGATGTGGCAGGGTATCCCTGCGCGTGATGACAATGAGTTTCTGGATCTATTTAAAAAGATAACATTGGCAGGACCAGACGAAAGATGGAACGTCAGGATTGAGAGAAAGAGAGGAGTCGGTGTTTGGGGCCCAAACTGTCATTTCCTGAAATGAAGAGACTGTGGGCAAAGAAGGCTGAAAGGGATACGGGAAATGGTGAAATTGGAGGCTCCCGTCTGGGGAGTTCAGTCTGAGATGACTGTGATACGCCCAAGTAAAGAGGTGGAGGAGGCTGCTGGATAAAGGCTCCAAAATCAGAGGGATGGTTGAAGCTGGAGATAGAAATGTGAGAACATCAGCCCATGGAGGGCATTCACAGTCCCAAGCCTGGGTGAGGCCACCAGGAGAGGCGTGCAGCTGGAGAAGGGGAGGGGTCTGGGCACAAAGCCTGGCTCTCGGCATCCAGTGCACCGTCAGCAGTCAAATTGCACGTTCAGGTCTCCCTCCCTGGGCATCAGGCAATCAGGTTCAAACGTGGAAGATGGCCATTGGTACAGGGCACCTCCACCTCTAGGCATGAGTGTGAGGGAATGGTGCTCCATTAGCACTAAAGGTGCGTATGGCCATGTCATTTGGAAGGGTTGTCTGTTGTGTTAACTAATAAAGACTTGAGGCCCTAAACCAAATTAAAAGTTCATCTAAGGTCTTAAATGTTCAAATTCCAGAGAGCGGTGGTGGCAGGAGCTTCTCCTGCCTCCACAGCAGCACTAAGGATGTCTGACTGCCAGCTTAGGCCCAAATTGAATTGAGTTGTGGGATACCCAGTTGGTGTCCAGAGAGTGGGGGTCAAAATTAGTTAGGGTCAGGAGGAAATAAAACCTATCACACCCCTCCTCCAGGCCATACCTCCCACCGCACTGGGACTGAGGGCCCTTCATAGAGGCTCAGGTCCCTCTGATCAACCCACTTCCTAGGGTAGCACTTTCCATGCCTGGTAAGTCTAGCTGTTGAATGTCCACCAGTGTTTACTGCCCACTTTTTAAAAACAGTACTATATAACATTTTTAGATGTTACTAAGATCTTTTTTATTGATTTGAGCTCCTTGGCAAAACTATGATGTCCCATTTAATAGGTGAGCAAACTGAGGCTCAGAGAAGTAAATCAGCCACACCAGGAGTCTGTGTCCAGGTGAGCAATGGTCTGAAGCCCCTTAGGCCTGGGCTTTCCAGCCCAGGTCAACTCAAGGCATCTCCAGAAGCTGCTACAAACAGGGAAGGACTTAGATAACGTCACTCCTCCATCTACAGTCCACATCTCTGCTGAGTCCACAAAAGAAGAAAGCTCCCCAGAGAACTGGCTTTGCAACCAGGAGGCAGGGGCTGTTTCCCTTTCAGATGGATGATTACTAGTTGAGGGCTGAGCTAACACAAAACCAACAGCCCCCTGGCCAGAACACATGGCACGAATGCAATGGACCGCAGAAGCCCATAAAACTATGAGAATCTGGGAGGGTCCCTGACCTTGCTGTAGTGCCCCAACAAGGAGCTTCCCTGGCAGACTTAGGAGCCCCACCCATCCTGAGAGTTGGGCCAGGCCCCACACCCATCACTGAAGAACCTCAACCAAGGCTCTAAAGAAAGATTCACAGTGGCCCCACCCATCCTGAGAGTTGGTCCTGGCCCCACACTTAACATCCTGAAGAGCTTCAAACCTGGCTCTGTGGGCAGGCTCTAGCTCAGGGGTGGGGAACCTTTTTTCTGCCAAGGGCAATTAGATATTTATAATGTCATTCACAAGCCATACAACTGAAAAATTATGTTGCTATGAAGGGACCCCCACCCTGATCCAGGACACCCTTCAGGGCAAACCAGCCGGCCCCCACCCGTGCACCAGGCCTCTATCCTATATAGTAAAAGGGTAATATGCAAACTGACCCTAACAGCAGAAAGACTGGGAATGACTGGTCACTATGACACACACTGACCACCAGGGGTCAGACGCTCAATGCAATAGCTGCCCCCTGGTGGTCAGTGCGCTGCCACAGTGGGAGCACCACTCAGCTGACTGACCTGTCCCAGCGGCCCACCAGCCTGGCGGCAGCTACTCACTCCCTCAGTAGTCCTGCAGGTCTAATCTCCAGAGAATGGCCAGTCACCGAAGGGCTGGCATGGATGGATTGGCACCGCCTCAGGCACAATTCAGACAGCACCACATGCCTCCTAGAAGTCAGCCTGGGGCACCACGACTGCTTCCCCTCCCTAGATGATCCTCAAGGAAGAAATGATAAAGAAGCAGCCACCAGATGACTCCCAACAACGAGCACTAACGTCAGCGGGATGGATCTGGATCCCAGGACAGCAAGGGTGTCCCACTGCCACCCAGAGGGCAGATCACATCCCGCCCCCAC